AGTTTGCTTTGCTTTGAGAAGGCTTGCATTTTCTTTTTAATTTAGAGCCCTTAGGAATATACTTTCTTTTTCCTAATTTCATCCTGTATTTTTAAAATTTTTAGTAACAAGGGATTACATCTTTATTATCTACATATTGTTTCTTTCTGCATATCTAATAAACTTATGAGGTAAACAGAAATAATTCTGTAGCCTTTATATTGTTTAAATGCTAGATCCTACCTCCCTCCTCCATGCACTCATGAGGTGGCTCCTTATTTAGCAGAGTGGTGACACAGACACGCGGTCCCAGCACATGGGAGGTGGGGGCAGGAAGATCAGAAGGCTAAGCTTAGATGAGCTACATGCGATCCTGTCTGGGGATTGGGGGACCTCATTATTGAGCCCCTGGATATGTTCCAGTTGCTTCACACAACACAGGCACGAAACATTCATGCACATGCGTGAGTGGGTGTGATTGCTATAGAGCAAGTGTGGAAGCCAGGGGACAGCCTCTCCTGTGTCAGCCCCTGGTAGGGGAACACTGTGATTACAGACGTAGGTTCTGTTCGGTCCAGCTTTTAGTCCCGGGAATCCAACCTCAAGTTGTCAGACTTGGGCAGAAGGTACTTGATCCCCTAAACCATCTCTCTCACCCACTGAAACATTGTTTTAGGACATAATTCTATAACATGTTACTTCTTTCTCTCCAAAAGGGTGACAAAATCCACAATATCGCTATACTGATATCTAATAACCTTGGTTGCTGCTGTTGTTGTTAGGTATCTAGTAGCCTCGGTAAATGGCCATGAAATTTAGGGTACTGTTTTCCTAGTACAGATGGGCAGCAGCATTATTTTCATACGGTACTCACGGCCCCTGGTGAGATTAGATTTGCTGGTCTTCACTGGAATAGAAACACTTGTTTCCCGGCCCTATTGGTCTGTAAAGCATGCTCTGCCAGTTGCTCTACTGCATATTGATTGAGGGGCATGCCGTTTTACAGTGCCAAAATGCCATGTGGTCCTTTCCTGACTAAAGATTTGTAGATCCCAGAAGGTCCATCTTATTCAAGACTTCTAAGTCTTACTGTCATCCAGATAAACTGTATATGCTCCCCCTCAATACTTAGGCTTGTATCAGTTTCTCTTCTACTGCTGTGACAAAACACCATGTCCAGGAAAACTTATAAAATAAAACATTTAGCCGGGCGGTGGTGGCGCACGCCTTTAATCCCAGCACTCGGGAGGCAGAGGCAAGTGGATCTCTGTCAATTCGAGGCCAAGCTGGACCGACAACCTCCAAAACAATACAGAGAAACCCTGTCTTGTAAAAACCAAAATAAATAAATAAATAAATAAATAAAACATTTAATTGAGTTTATGGCTTCATAGGTTAGAGTTCATCATGATGGCAAAGCAAAGCAATGGTGGCAGGAGCAGCTGAGAGCTCAGGTCTTGATCTGTAAGTAGGAGGCAGAGAGAGCACACTGGAATGGTGTCAGTCTTTTGAAATCACGAAGTCTGCCCCCAGTGACACACCTTCTCCAACAAAGCCACACCTTCTAATCGTTTCCAAAAAGTTTCACCAATGTGGACCAGGTATTCAAACCTCTGAGTCTACGGGTGTCACTCTTATTTAAACCATCACAATTGCTGGGGCAGCATGACAGTGGGGAGCGAACAGCAGGCATGATGGCCGGAGATGGCAAGTTGAGAGCTCACACTTTGAACCACAACCGTGAAGCAGAGAGGGCAACGAAAATGGCTAGAGTCCCTAAGCTCTCGAGGCCCACCTCTAGTGACATGCTTCCTCCAACAAGACCGTGCCTCCTAACCCTCCCCAAGCTGCACCACCAACTGAGGACCAAATGTTCAAATGTATGAGCCTCCAGGGGACATCATTCAAACCACACAAAACTCAAGATGTTTTCCATGTATCTGAATTTATCCAGACAAAAACAAAGTAAACATAAGCAGAGCATCCATAAGACCAACTATGTGTCAAACCATCATCTCTTATGATGTCATAGGAAGGAGCTTTGTAACACAGATAATAAAAACCCAGAGATTGATATTGGGGTTCTAGCTGATGGTCAGTAAGCAAAGCAGCCAGCCACTACCTCTTACCTCTACCTCAGGCTGAAAGGGCTGTTCTGTCCTCAGTGTGGCTGGAGAATAAATCTCCCATGAGACCCTTTGGTTTTTCCTCTTATATCCCCCTAGTGCTGGGATTGAAGGCATGGAATCCCAAGTGCTGAGATCACCTTTGTGTGAGCTCTTTCTCTGTAGGGATGGATCAATTTCATGTAGCTCAGTGTGGCCTGGAACATGTCTCTTGAGTCTGGGGATTAAAGGTGTGTGCCACCATCATTGGCTGTATGACTAGCTAATATGGATGCTGGAATTAAAGGTGTGTATCACTGTATTGAGAGTTCTAATAGGTCTTAATAATAAAAGCCAGGAGTTAGATACATGAGCAAAAGCTTAAAGATCAGAGAGATGAAGGAGCAAGCCACAGCCACACCTTACCTCACTAACTTCCCAGCTAAAAAGAGAACAAGTTCCTGTTTCCTCCTGCCTATAATCCTTTCTCCTCCCAGTCATCTCATTTCCTGTCTCTGCCCAGCCATCTCACTTCCTGTCTGTCTTTTAGCTATTGGCAAGCTCCACCCTCTGATCTTCAGACACTCTTTACTTGTACAAACAAGATATCACCACATATCACCTTTGCCTGGCTCTGTGGCTTGTGGCTAGCTTTGCTTTCTGTACCCTCAAGCAAGCTTTAATAAACCATAAACAATACATCACCACAGAGTTTGGTGAAACTCTGGAATAAGTGAAGAAGGCTCTAGCGTTGGCCCCGCCTGTCTTTTTGGAGACTTGAACTCTACAAAAGAAAACAAAAAGTCAGAGGGACTTGGGTGACAACTTGCGGAATCTAGCCACATGTCTTATACATTAATATCAGCGATTTCCAAAATAGCTTCCAGGGAGATGGCCTTATACCTGGGATCCACTATGAAGACTGAGCCAAATTTGGCATTTCATTCATGTGGAACAAAGTCCGACCAGCAAGAATATCTTTTCCTTTTCTTGGCCATCAAGGGCAGCAGAACACCCTTGCTGTTTATAATAAATACTTGCTGGAAAACAAATTAGTGTGGTCTTGCTCTAGTTCTCCCACAGAGGTGAGCTGTTGCAAAATTCAACTGATCTCACGGTGATTTGTGGCTCAAACTTTTTTTTTCTTTTAACCTTGATTGACAGGACTTCCTACTCCATAGTGTGACTTCTAAACTTCACTGTATGTATCACAGTGCCCGGGGCTGGGCTTCTCACCAGAACGCTGAGTAGAAAACTTGGCGGGAGAGCTCACTGTCACACACATCAGAAGTGTGTCGTGTGGTAAAACACCACTTGATCCAGTAGCATGGAAATAGACACACAGCTGTCGGCTGGAATGCAAGATGACTAACTTGGCAGTACGGGCCAACATTTAACTGTACATTTCTTTGTCTCAGAATTTCTGCTGCTGAGAACTTTTCCGATGAACGTGCTTGTCCAAATTTGAAGGTGCGAACATGTATAGGAGTATTCCTTTGTTGTGAAGGTAGGAACGGCAGGCCTTTAAAAACTGCTTCGTCGTGCCGCAGAATTCTATGCAGGCGTTACAAAGGACGAGGAGAGATGTCCCATATATTACTAATTAAAATCACAAGATCTCGAAGAGTAATGCTTCTTGTCAACTCATTTGTATAACCAAAGAACAGAGACATACAATTGTCTGTGTACAAAATTAATGGAAGGAATATACAAAACGTTAACAGTGGCTGTGACATTTCAAAGTATTGAAGAAGGAGAAGAGGGAAGATTTCATCTTGTGTCTTATACAGTTGAATTGTTACTACTGAATATATCGCCTTCATGATTTCTAGCACCTTCCATCTTCTTACTCACTTTTATCTATCTTGAGTTAGCCACTAGGTTTTCTAAGGATTGAGGTTATTTATTTTTATATTAATTCTCTCTCTAACGTAAATCTATTTCCCAAGTGTGTTCCCCCCAAGCCATTTTTCCCCTTTAAATATGGCCTTTCATAGTTCTTTAACCTGTGATTAAGAAGACAAAACCCCAGTACATGAATCCCACTGTAAGTACTGAGTTTCAAATTTTGTATGTAGGGGGACACAACATCAACAGACACTGATGAAACCACGGTGTCTGGATGCAGGAGGTCAAAGAGCCAGATACCCTGTACTGGGAGCCACAGGAGGGCTTAACTGGGGCATTTCTGGTTGTGCCTTAGGACTATGAGCACTCCAATCTCAAGATATAGCTATTATTCCCGGATCATTGCCACGAAAGACCCAAACAACTCCAGTCTATCGTGTCAATGTGTATTCCGGGAGTCTTTAGTGCACGGATCATTGGTGAGCCGTACCATAAGAGCCCAGTAGGAGCCTCGGCCGCTTGTGAAATCAGCACACGCTCGGGGACTCCCCCAGGCCAGATCATTTGCAGCGCATGGCACCAATGCATACTCCCGGAGTCCTTACTCTGCTGCCTGTGCATGATGAGGGACAATACTCACCAAAAGTACCTATGAAATAGTCACAGCCCTTACACAGTATTCACTTTTCTAAATGACATGTCAGTGCGTTTAGTGCGGACAAATAACTCCTAAAAGGCACAGAACACCCCTGGAAGCTAACTTCGTACACAACGGGATTGTGGCATGGCTGCGGGCACCCCTACAGTAAACAAAGGGAAGAACAGACGCCTCTTAAGCCACAGGCTCCACTCTGTGTTGTCAGGAGGTTTCACGCAGAGACACGGCCTCTTCCCTGCCTAGTTTCAAACCATCCGCGGAGGAAAGCGGGTTGGTACAATCAGAGCTAGAAAGTTCCTTGGGTCTTCCACCTCCAGACCAACACTGTCCAACAGAAATAGAATACGAGCCACAGACATAACTGTAAATCTTGTTCACAGCTACCCATCTTTAACAACTAGAAAGCAGGATTGATCAAGGCACTATATTTTATTTCACACACTATATCCAGAGTATGAAGCTTTCAACATTCAATCCTTACTTTACAACCACTACCGCGAGAGTTCTCCATCTTTCCCTCACACTGTGTTTCCTTCGCCGAAGGATTTGGCCTGGCCACACTGCAGGTCCCAGGTGAGCAGGACACGGTGGTGAGCAGCCCAACTGTCATGGCCTAGGGAAATGGATTGCAGGCATGTAAGCGGCCATGTCTAGACAGGTGTGCCTGCCTGTCTGTCCCCCTCCGTCCCTCACCGAGGCTGCTGGTCTTTTCTTAGCAGCCTGGGGGTTCAGGTCAGATATGGGTTTTGTAAGCATAAACATGCCCATAAAGACGCATTCAGAAAGAGAAGACTACAATCCTTTAGGCCCTATCGCTAGTGCCGCGATTAGGTCATCTTTCTCGCTGCTGAAGCTGAAGGCGATCAGGGATGGCTGCGGAGGGAGGAAGGAGGGCAGAAGGGCCTTCAGAGTGTACGTGGTTAGATGTGCATCCCGGGGTCGCAGGGTCACTAGACCTGGGGGCGTCGCTGATCTGGGACCAGGAGTCTCATGAGAGACACAAAGGGGAGGAAGGAGCGTGACAACGGAGACAAAGCGGCTGGGAAGAGAGAGATGCGGGCGCGGGCGGCGCAGTCCCGAGACTCAAGGGACAGCCGGGGCGGGGGGCTGCGGGGGGGGGGACGGGGGTGGCAGGCGACACGGCAGGCGATTTGAATATCAGGCTCTGCCACACTCGGGGCGCCGCTGACAACTTCATTACCTCCGCATATAAAAATGACTGCCGGGGAATGCAAATGGCTCGCGCGTCTCGGCCGCCTGCCCCCGCTCCGCCGCCGGCTGCGGGCCGGGAGCCGCCACTGCGCCGGGGTAATGAGCGACCCGAGGCGCCTCCTTCCCGGACGGCGGCCAGGACATTGCCCAGACTCCGCAATGTCTCCTGTGCCTGGCTCTAGGCTCTCATCCGGGTACCTAACCCTGAATCCTGATGGCGCGGGTCCTGCCCACGCCCAGGGTCACCATCCCCAGGGACGCGTGGCCTCAGCTTTAGGCAGGGTTCTCATCTACCCAGCAGGGAGAGAGGAACTACAGCTCCGGCTCCCCAGCCCTTCCGGTCCTGCTGCCACCCGGAGGACAATGAGGCACCTGCAGGACCCTCATCCCTAATCCCAGGCCTGAGTTCCTCCAGATGGAAACTAAGGCAAGCTGCGTGCAAAGGCAAAAGGCGGTTATTTACCGGAGCCTTTCTTCTTTGGCACACAAAAAGGGAGGGTTCCCTTCTTAACGAGAAGCCACACCTTGTGACAACCCCGAGGAAGGAAGAATTAGTCCCTTCTTGTGACAGTAGCACTGCAATCACTGAGCGCCCCTAAGAGGCTCTCCAGACATTAAGAGCAAGGCACTGCCACCTGCTTTATACAGGCATTTGTCACACACCCTATAACTTCTCCTGGAAACTGCAGTTTAGCTAATCCTGGAAAGGAGCCCGGGGTAACCCAGCTAGGAAGGGTGCACACTCTTTGCCACTCCATAAAATGTCTTTCCTGACTTCCTCTTACAGTAAGTAGTACATGAGCGGGACCTGCTACCTCACTCTGGCCCCGCTATGACCAGAGATCAGTGCAAGTACTCTCAGTCTTCTAGGACCAGTCCCTTGCCATGTCCAGGGCTTAGTCTGGAAAAGAGCATGTGACCATTTAAAGGGCATCGGCCAGAAGACCCTGGGGAACAGGGGCATCTTGTCCTGAGAAAGTATCTCATGGAAGAGTTGCATTCCCAGCTGGATGGTGAGTGACTTTCACCACTGAAAAGCTAAAACAACAGAATTGCCTTTTGTTGGGGGAGAGTCAAGTCCTTGGAAACTTACCAAGTTTTGTTTTAAAAGCTACATAAGGGGCTGGAGAGATGGCTCAGAGGTCAAGAGCAAGCACTGGCTGCTCTTCCAGAGGTCCTGAGTTCAATTCCCAGCAACCACATGGTGGCTCACAACCATCTGTAATGAGATCTGGTGCCCTCTTCTAGAATGCAGACGTACATTCAGGCAAAACACTATATACGTAATAAATAAATCTTTGTAAAAGCTACATAAGAGTAAGGGCTACAGAGCAAGGCCCTGTTTCAAAGAAGGAAGGAAGGAAAGAAGGTAAGAAAATATTTTTTATAGTTTCTCTTAAATCGTGTGCATTTTTTCATTAAAAAAGCAGAACTGTGCAAAATAGGTATTATGTTTTATTAATTTTGGAGTCAAGGAGTGGTGACCTCAAATGATTGTCTCCCTCTGCCAAGGAAAGAACCCCGAATTCCTGAGCAAGACCTTCAAGACCCTTCAGGGCCTTTGCCTAACCTAATTTATCTACCACTATCCTGCTGATGTGCCGCCCCCCCACCCCATGGCATACACTGTTAGATGCCCGTGTTCTCTAGAGTGCCTTTAACTCCATTCCCAACCATTTAAATATTGCAGATTCTTCCAGGTGCACCTTAAATCCACTCCACTAAACAAGCGGGCATGAGCCGCCTCTGCAGCTAGCACACAACCAGATGCAAGGTTCACAGAGTCCTATCTCCCTTGTCCCTTGTCTTAAGGACACCACCGCCCCCACATTGCTTACATGTGATCTCGTGTGCTACAGTGGCACCTCTGTGAGCCAGAGACCATTAACTCTAGTGGAGGAACTGAGACCCTAGAGTTTAAGGAACATTCTGGAAAGTATGCTAGTAATGACAGCGTGAGCAAGATTCCTTCTTTTCTTGTTGGCCTGCACGGCACATCACGCTTTTGATGAATAACTTGAAGAATAGAACTTACTCCAACCAGGTGGTTCCATTAGACCCTTAAGCCAAGACAGTATTGACCATTCCAACACAACTCCAAAGACCAAGGGCATCCTCTAGTGCTCAGCACATCCTACCCTCTACCGGCTTGGGTCTCACACACAGGTCCTTGGTATCTCCTCTAGCCCCTGAAGCCTAGGCATTTCTGAATCTCTTCAAACCTAGCACTCAAGAGCATACTTAGCCAAGCTCCGGATTCCAGTCTGATCTGCCCAAGGAAAAAGGGGGGAAACAGAAGGAAGTGAGCATTGCTGACCATCCTGTCACCTTCACAGTGAACCGAAAGCCTGGGGTTATGGTGAGAACACCACGAGAACAGAAGGTGTTATCTGTGGTGCTGGGGTGGAACCCAGGACCTTGCACTTGCCAGGTGAGTGCTCTGAGCTATATCTCCACTCCACATAGTGTATTTTTAATTCTCACACTTTTGTTGGAGTCCCCCCCCCCCCCCATTCAATGTTTGGATTTGGAAGCTGGAGAAACTGTATCTTTTCAGCATGGAATTCTTCCGTTAGCAGCAGTCATTCAAACCCACAAGCCATTTTGATCAAGTCGTACATCTCTAGACAGAAGGAAGTAGGACGTGCTTCAGTTCACTCTGACTTTTAAACCATTAAAGCACAGCCAAGGAAATGAAGCCTAACCGCTACTCCTCTTCTTCCTCTCCTCCTCCTCCTCTTTGACCAACAATTGCTACGACCCCACACTAACGAGGTAGAATATGTTAGGAACTTTCTTCACTTAACGTTGCTCAATATTCATAAATTTTGCACTGACAAGTCTAAAGCGAACACTTTGGATTTATGCACCTAACCTAATTACATATGCCGCGTGCACGCATTTCATTATTTACTTGACAGATTCATTCCTTGATATCATAAATAATTAAACAAGAATCAAATATTAACAATCAGATACATGTTAATTCTTCTCAAATCTGAAGAAACAAACTATATTTTTGTCTCCAGTTCAACAAGCACTGATTAAAATTTCTTCATTAGGCAAATTTCATAAGCAAAGTTCTTGGTCTACTTTTATTTCATCAAAAATTAAACCTGGGGCAAATTATTCCAGGACTATTTCATGGGCAAAAAAACGAACATAGCAGCATTTCAACAAACCGCTGGATTCACAGCCTCTCACTTCCAGATTTCATGCACGAAACATGAGCCTGTGCATTCATTAATTTTCAGATGTAGTTTGTATTATGGGCTGGAAGCCAGTAGGACATTGGCTGCTAGTAGCATTTAGCCAGAGATGCGTGTCTTGCGGGACAATGGTTTTAACCAGTTATTTTACTGCAGAGTTAACTTCCAAGGCGCTGTGGGTGAGGGCGGAACCCAGTGACTCTGGGCCCTGGGTTTTCTCAGCTGTTGCTCCTTCTGCTCTCCTGAGCTGCTTTGAGGTCTCCTAGCCATGCACATCAGCATCTTCCTTGATCAAACTGTTCTCACATTTTATCTGATTTGCTTTGGTGGAGCACACCACACAATCTCATCATTTAAGGAATATTAAAGATTCATGGATAGCCACATTACTCATAATACAAGATTAATGCTGGCCCGACAGGTTTTTGTAAAGATCTGCCTCTTTTTTCCCTCGGTGCACGCACCATATCTGTGTGAGCTCTACCCCTTGATGTTGCATATTGATTACTCCCTTCTCTTCTCTTTGAGTGCTAAAGAGAGGATATTATAGAATGATTGTCAGGGTCAGTGTGCCTCTGACCTACAAGTGTATGATTAATAATTTATGAACTGACTTGGAATACGGCATCAGGAGACAAATGGAGGACCATGGCTGCTGCCTAAGGTGACACAGAGTAGGGGTTGACACCATGTGCATCCACACTTTGAGGCTGTTAAGACACCTAAAGAGATTTGGATCCTCCAAGTGTCAGGGTTAGCTGATTGGAAGAAATGCTAAAATTTCCGAGAGCATTCATCTCTTTCTGTCTGACCCTTTCTGTAGCATGGAGATTTCCTTTGAAAATTATTTAATCCCATTGTTAACTCAATGTGTCCATATACAGCGTCTCAATCAAATAGTGTGGGAGAGAAAAATCAAAAGCCAGTACTTTGTCCTTGTCTGCCCTGGGTCTTCACCCCCAGTGCTCTCCGGACTGTTTTCTGTGTTCATGGAGCCACAGAGGAGGTGGGGAGTGGGGGGTCCCTCTGTGCTCAGACGTGACATGGAACCTGACATACTGCGCTGCAACTTGATCCTCCCACTCAACAAGTAACAGGGATACCCCAGCTTCTCAGCACATCTGCCTGCTGCTCATTTTTCAAACCAGTGTTCCATATGCCAGATGCACGGTGGCATCTTTACCTATACCCTTCCTGACGCATTTCTAGGTGGAAAACAATGCCGGACTGTAATTCCAGTGCTTGGGGAGGCAGAGACAAGAGGATTGGGATTTCAAGGTCAGCCTGAGCTGCATAGCAAAACCGTCTGAAGAACAAAAACCAACAGCAAAACACCAGATACGCTGAATGTGCATTTATGAATTTGCTGACCTCCTGCTGTCAGGTAGATTCCTGTTACAGTAATCACTAGGTCAATAACTTGTTTTTGAAACTCCTTAGCCCATTAATTAGGCAATAGTAAAAACTATTCTCATTTGAGCTTTAGGTAATGAACTCTTTCCTTAATAGAAGTGCCCATAACATTTAAGCACATTTTAAAGGAATGTATTTTTTTAAAAAAACTTAATAATACAGAATAATACAGAAAAGGTTTTAAGCTTCATTTCATCAGTTTTATGTGTGAGGAACTCCATGCAAAAGCAAACGGAAGCCTACATGTTTAATGCTTTGGTAACATGTCGTCAAACTCCACATCTGTACAGATAACATTTAGCATCAATATCCAAGCAGCCAGTCTTCATTTTAGCCATGCAATATACAACTAACACCTTAAAGATGTGTTTATAGAGATTGGCAACTGTTTAATGCTTTTCAAAACAGACTCAAGGAACTCTGGCTGTGGAAACATTGCGGCTGGCTAGGAAGTCAAATTAATAATAATGCTGTTATGTTTATTTGAAACCATCAGAAGCAAGCATGTTTGCACAAATTCTCCACCCTCAAATTGTGTGAAGCTTTCTACTATCACTGCAACGGTACCCGGAGTATCTGTCAAGTTCTATTATCTGAAGTAGATATGCTTTCAGAAAAGATGCCCTGCATCTGATGACAGGCACTTCCTATCTGCTAGGACTC